CAACAAAACACATGTCCAGCATCCAGCAAAACCAGACAGAAAGCTGTACTTCATGCCAGATGTGCCACACCTGGTGAAGAATTTGAAGAGTGCCTTAGTTCGAGGACAGACATTTACAATTCCATCAGCGATTGTAAAAAAAGAGAGACTTACACACAACGAAGTTTCATTGGGACCCTTGAAAGATTTGGTGGACTTTCAGGAAGGGATGCCGTTGAAAATAGCTCCAAAGCTGTCGAACAATTCCCTTCAGCCCAGTCATTTTGACAAAATGAAGGTGGGGCCTGCAATGAATGTGTTCAGTAAGTCAGCAAGCGCAGGTCTGAAATACATGGTGGAGCAGGAGCAGCGACCTACCTCTAACCTTACAACAGCCTGGTTTTTGGAGCAGGTGAACCACTGGTTTGACCTCATGTCCTCTCGTCACCCGGTGATGGCTCTAAGCAGACACAAGATGGAAGAATACAACAAAGCCATTAAATTCCTCCAAGACACAATAACACTGTTCTGTGGACTTAAGATAGGTCAGACAGGAAGCTGGAAACCAGTGCAAACAGGAATCATCATGGCAACATCAACAGTTTTGTCTATTCAAGAAGACATGCTTGACCATGGACATGAGTTTGTGTTGACAAGCAGGTTTACCCAGGACTGTCTTGAAAACTTGTTCAGCTGCATAAGGCAAAGGAACCCTGTCCCAACACCAGTGGAGTTCCACCAGGCACTGAAATCAGTCTCTGTTGGGAGCAAGTCTATTACAAGTCTATTACAAGGCCTGCTCCCTGCATGTCATGATGTGCAAAAAAAACTAACCAGCAGATTCATAAGGCTGAGACTACGAATAGAAGCAAAACATCTCTTAGATGAAAGAAAAAAAGTGTTTTCCAATGCTGGGCATCTTGGAAGTAAAAGCCAAGCAAAAAGCACAAAGAGAAAACAACAACACCAATCAGCATCTTGTATCGCAACAACCAAATCCCCACCAAACACCTTGATTGTTGCCATGGAGGAACTTGGTCTCTCCTTTGCAGACACTCTCCCATCCAGGGCAGCTTCAACACCAGTGGATGGTATGTTTGGAGGGATATTTTTTCTGTCCCTCACATATTATTTTAGTTACACTGTTTCTACATAAGTTATTA